ATGCAACTGTCCATCCGCTTTGAACACTTCGTCAGTGACCTTTTAAGCCGCCTTATCGATCTTCCTGATTTTTCCTTCAGTCATAGTTCCATCTCCCGCCAGAGCTTGTAATTGGCTGCAAAAACGTTGATACCCTGCCTTCGAGGGTGCAGTTGAATTGTGCAAATACTCCTTCTTTGCCTCATTTCTTTGCATCCTAATGCCTAAGTCTTCTCCGTATTCCAAGGTGGCTTGATTATTCTCTTTCTAAACCGTACTATGTTTTTTGCTGAGGAAATGACGGCTTCTATGAAGTGTTTGTAAGGTTCATTGACATTGCCACTTCCGAATTGGTCACTAAGTGTGGCATTAAATCTGCTCTTTATTTTCTTTTAGTAGACAACCGTGCCGAGACGTCATGTTCTAACCTGTCAACATCGAGCTCTGTTTCAACTAGACAACGTCGATGCAAGAGGCTAATTTGAAATCACGTACAGTTTCAAGCACGTGGTGATCAGACCTAATGCAGGCTCCATGCTCCGAGCTGAACCACTGGCGGTTGATGAGGACGCGGCAATGCTTGATTTTTAGGCTTTTATTAGTTGACGCTTAAGTGGTTTGGTGAATACGCTTACGAGGAAAAAGGCTCCCGCGGACGATTAAACTGCGTTTGGCTCAGAAGCTTCACAGATGCCTGTCGCTGTCATTCACGCTGTCAATACCGTGACGAATGACTATGACTGGCCATGTGCTGTATCCAATTCCCAGCTTAGCCTTGAGGTCGCCTATGCTAATTGCAACGCCTTGACGCGACAAAGCATACCCGGCCGAATGCAACCCGTCGTACAAAGAGTCTTTCTCACAATCAATCGCTCGACAGTTTCTGGGTCATAGACAACAGCAACATTCAACGTCACTTGTCTGATATTCACACAACCGAACAAGATTCTCTCGGCACGAAATGGAAGACCGGCTTTCCCTTGAGAACATTAGGATACTCGCATCGGAATGGCGTAATTTAGCGTGGCCTTAACGACTAAGGTGATAAGGTCCGGCAGGTGAAAGGTCCCCATGCTCGGGAAGGGAGCTTCTTTGACCGCCAGTACATCGAGTTTGAACCGACTGGCCGTGCGGCAAACATCATTTAGCGAATTTTCGCAAGATAAAGAACGAACGTTCCAACATGCAACATAGAACTTATCACTTGTTGTGCTGACAGTTAGAATCACTGATATTTTGGTTTCTCTTTGATGGGTACGTTGCCATTTGGAACCGGTAGCTGCGCAACTCATTACCGCGAAAGTAATAAATTCACCGACGCTCGCTAAGAAATCAGTCTGACAACCCTGGAATCCCGATTGGACTGCTTCTAAACTTTTAATAATCAGTGCAGAGACTGGAACAGTTGATTTACTGTCGAGCTCCGTTCGAGTGTACTGAGTCGCGCAACTAAACCTGGTAGGAAAAATTCACGATTGCCACCGTTCTTGAGTTGCGAAGGGATGCGCTTTGTTGAGGAGAATGTCTTACCTATCTCAATTCCATGGGATACCTCGAAACTAGTTGCTTTCGAGTCGCTTTTGACATTGAATCGAAACTTCTCAATCTATGTTTTTCAAAGGTTGCTCTGGATTTCTGCTGCTGTGGTCCTTTACTTGACCAGCGCATAGCCGTCAATTAAATGCACTATCAAATTTCAGGATATCGTATTCGATCCGTAGATTAGTCTAAAATTTATATTCTTTTCAGGCTCTGTCGCTTTTCTGGTTATCCGTCGATCTGATTGAAAGCAGACAGCATCATCAGATACGTGATTATGAACATTGATTGCACTGTAAAATATCGTCAAGTTCAGTCTATTTAAAAATTATGATGCACTCATTCATATTGTTGAGATGTGCCATAGCAAACAAGTTTTAATAAACTTTAATATGACATTTGTGTCTGATGCGTAAGTAAGAAAGAATTACCTTATTGAAGCCTCAAAGTCGAAAAAATAGTATTAATTTAGATCTCGGTTTCCTGAAGCTTTGAAACTATCAACATAATATTTGCACTCAGTTCAATTTTTATGACCGAATTTCTCTTCGGGTCACGGGACAGATGTAACAGATAGTGCTCCCAACGTTTTAGATCCTGTGCCAGAGTCCAAGCTTCAGCAGAAGACGACCGGAGATTAGGCGCGGGGCGTTGATACCGATTGTGATAATGTGCTTCCAGTTAGCTGAAACTTTGAACTAAAAGACTATATTCAAATTCAGAATGGTATTATGTGACTTAATTCGACTGCAGTGACAAATTTTGTCAAGCCGTTGATGTCTCATCCATTCATAGAATTTACAAAATTCTCATAAGGATCTTAACGTATCGAGGTGAACAACTGAACGAGGCAAATATATACATAATTATGGCAGAGCATGTGCCAGTATCCTGATTCGCTGCTAGCCATCTGAGGGTTTCGGAGAGGGGAACGACCTTTAGATATAGAGGTTAGCTGGGTTAAATAAGCAGTCGCGGACAGGCAGGGACCACCAAGATGTGGTTGGGTTCAAGCTTGAAAGGATTATTCTGTAGAAAAAGGTAACAATGCATAGTGAAAGTCTCATGATGAGACAAAAGTGACTCAGCCCTTTGTAAAAGGATGCCATCAATGTTAACGCAGCCAGGGGGCCAGATTATAATTTGTCAAAGGCTAGAATAGAAAATATTGATGAAAGATGGTCTTAATTGGGAGACACGAAATTCGCCAGCCACCATTAACCGTGCCAGCGGGTGGAAAAAATTTTGTGCGTAATGACAACGCAGAGTGTTGCAGTCGGCGTGAGTAATCGCTGAATACCGGTCTGTTCAGGTTATGTGCCAAAACGCAATCTTATTAATGGTGGTAAATACTTTATATATAATTTGCAGTGTTTAATAGATCGTTGAATAGTTAAAAATGAACAGACATGTAACCTATGCTAAAGCACTTGTGATTTATAGAAAGCATTATGATGATTAATAATTGTGGTGTATTACCGTTATCAAATTTATAATTGCATCAATACTTGAAAACATTTTTGCTACGGTAGTGTAACCAGTTAAGTGTTTAATACGCAGTCTTAATTGTCGGCTGTAGGCCCCGTTTTTGACGATCTAACGATGAAATAGCCATCGAAACGCTCTGTACTTCTGGTTAGCAGTTGCGGTTGTATGTCGCTGATGACAGGTGGAAGGTCGTCTGACAGTGATGGCCTTCGGGCTCGTCTCCCCTTCGATACGCGTCCTGTTCTACTCCTGAAGACCGGCCAGTTCGTGCACTGCTTGCTGTTTAGGTCCTTATGGGCGGTCGAACGATGAAGCGGTTTAAAAAGCAGTTGTCGCACGCTCTCAGGTCACCGGCCAGCGGCGTATGTCCGGTGGTGTCTGGTCATCACGACGTGCACCCGGCGTGTTTTAGCGCTCCCTCGGCAGGCACACATAAGGAAAACGATTTGAAAATACGTTGTTCGCAGTCGACGTTTTCGTTCATGAACGAGTCGATTTCGGAGCTGTCTGAGGGAATCGAGGATGTCCATTTGATGGCCGAGAACGGTGAGTGTGAATGTGGATGCGTTTTTGTTTTTACCTTCAGATGTCACCAGCTTACCTGCCTTGACGTTCTCATTGTCGTCTTTTCTTCTACTTCAGTATGTGCAATTATATTTACGGACTCGAGGTGAAACGACTACTCCTTTTCTGTCCCCTCCCCTTTGTGCGTCGACTTCCAGGTATGGTCATCGTTGGAGCAGGTGTAAAGTGTTGTTCTAA